GACCTTTTCAGAAAGTCAAAAAAAATATTTATAAGTACCTCATATTTTGAATTTTTAATTCTAAGTCCGATCATAAAAATCGACATATATCGTCAGGTACCAATAAATATACGACTTGGAATTCATTGAAAAAAATGTGAAAACGTAGGGTCTTCATAAGTGTCACTGAGACCTTTTCAGAAAGTCAAAAAAAATATTTATAAGTACCAAGTACCTCATATTTTGAATTTTTAATTCTAAGTCCGATCATAAAAATCGACATATATCGTCAGGTACCAATAAATATACGACTTGGAATTCATTGAAAAAAATGTGAAAACGTAGGGTCTTCATAAGTGTCACTGAGACCTTTTCAGAAAGTCAAAAAAAATATTTATAAGTACCTCATATTTTGAATTTTTAATTCTAAGTCCGATCATAAAAATCGACATATATCGTTAGGTACCAATAAATATACGACTTGGAATTCATTGAAAAAAATGTGAAAACGTAGGGTCTTCATAAGTGTCACTGAGACCTTTTCAGAAAGTCAAAAAAAATATTTATAAGTACCAAGTACCTCATATTGTGAATTTTTAATTCTAAGTCCGATCATAAAAATCGACATATATCGTCAGGTACCAATAAATATACGACTTGGAATTCATTGAAAAAAATGTGAAAACGTAGGGTCTTCATAAGTGTCACTGAGACCTTTTCAGAAAGTCAAAAAAAATATTTATAAGTACCAAGTACCTCATATTTTGAATTTTTAATTCTAAGTCCGATCATAAAAATCGACATATATCGTCAGGTACCAATAAATATACGACTTGGAATTCATTGAAAAAAATGTGAAAACGTAGGGTCTTCATAAGTGTCACTGAGACCTTTTCAGAAAGTCAAAAAAAATATTTATAAGTACCAAGTACCTCATATTGTGAATTTTTAATTCTAAGTTGATCATAAAAATCGACATATATCGTCAGGTACCAATAAATATACGACTTGGAATTCATTGAAAAAAATGTGAAAACGTAGGGTCTTCATAAGTGTCACTGAGACCTTTTCAGAAAGTCAAAAAAAATATTTATAAGTACCAAGTACCTCATATTTTGAATTTTTAATTCTAAGTTGATCATAAAAATCGACATATATCGTCAGGTACCAATAAATATACGACTTGGAATTCATTGAAAAAAATGTGAAAACGTAGGGTCTTCATAAAAGTCACTGAGACCTTTTCAGAAAGTCAAAAAAAATATTTATAAGTACCAAGTACCTCATATTTTGAATTTTTAATTCTAAGTCCGATCATAAAAATCGACATATATCGTCAGGTACCAATAAATATACGACTTGGAATTCATTGAAAAAAATGTGAAAACGTAGGGTCTTCATAAGTGTCACTGAGACCTTTTCAGAAAGTCAAAAAAAATATTTATAAGTACCTCATATTGTGAATTTTTAATTCTAAGTCCGATCATAAAAATCGACATATATCGTCAGGTACCAATAAATATACGACTTGGAATTCATTGAAAAAAATGTGAAAACGTAGGGTCTTCATAAGTGTCACTGAGACCTTTTCAGAAAGTCAAAAAAAATATTTATAAGTACCAAGTACCTCATATTTTGAATTTTTAATTCTAAGTCCGATCATAAAAATCGACATATATCGTCAGGTACCAATAAATATACGACTTGGAATTCATTGAAAAAAAATGTGAAAACGTAGGGTCTTCATAAGTGTCACTGAGACCTTTTCAGAAAGTCAAAAAAAATATTTATAAGTACCAAGTACCTCATATTTTGAATTTTTAATTCTAAGTTGATCATAAAAATCGACATATATCGTCAGGTACCAATAAATATACGACTTGGAATTCATTGAAAAAAATGTGAAAACGTAGGGTCTTCATAAAAGTCACTGAGACCTTTTCAGAAAGTCAAAAAAAATATTTATAAGTACCAAGTACCTCAAATTCAAATTCAAATTTTCAAATTCAAATTCAAATTCAAAATTTTATTTATTTTGTTAAGCATTAAGTTGCGATAGCAATTAACACTTTTTAAAATAAGTCAACATACATAGCATTATTTAAACGGTAGAATTCGTTTAAGTCATAAAATTGATGTTGCAGTACAAAAGCTTTCACTTCTTTAACAAGTACCTCGTCATTTTCGAGGGTTTTCAAGTTTCTAGGCAGGGCATTAAAGATTCATATAGTCAGGACTTTCTACAGATTTTTTAAGAGTAACTTCCCTCACAACTAGGTCATTTACACAAAAGTTTCTTTGATTATATCGAGTCAACCTCCTTGTATCCACACTATCACAATATTTCCGAAAGAGGTGACGATTCCGCACTAGAAATTTAATACATTCAAGTATATATAGAGAAGGCACTGTCATAATATTATATTTTATGAATAAAGGTTTACAGGAATCCAGAGCTTCATTTGATCTCCAATACGGAACGCCTGCCATAGCTCTCAAGGCTCTTTTTTGTGCTCGAAAAACATTTATTAAATGACATGAGCCCCCCCAGATCACAATTCCGTACATTATATGACTTTGTACATGGGCATAATATATCAATTTAAGAATATCATCGGAAACTGTATATTTTAATCTAGTAAATACATGTGTAACACTTCGTAGTTTTTTAACAACTTTATCACATTGATCAGTCCAATTTAAAGTGTCGTTTATTTGTACTCCTAATAATCTACCAGTCTTTGAGATTTCTATTTTCTGATCATCAATAGTGACTTCAGGTTGGACTAAATTTCTAGTTTGGCTTGTATGTATTTGCAAAATTTTAGATTTTTTGGAGTTAATTCTAAGGAAATTATCTTTTGCAAATCCGACAAAGCTTTCGTTCACGGCGACAGTTTTTGAATTCACTTCAGAAGAAGAATCACCTTTAACGATTGCTGTGGAATCGTCAGCAAATAGAATAAGGAGAGCCAGGAGAACAACAAGGGCAATATCATTTAAGTACGTAGTGAAGCCAATTGGGCCAAGGACTGTGCCCTGAGGCACACCCATATTACTCTCGATTACATCTGAATTAATAAATTCTTCATATCGATCACAACCAAGATTTTTCAGTTGTACATACTGTTTCCTTTTTGTCAAAAAACATTCAAGCCACAAGAGCAGATTTTTATGTAAGCCGTATAGTTTTAGTTTGTGGACAAGAAGAGGCGGGTAAAGTGTTCCAAATGCATTTGAAAAATCATACAGTATAACATTAACCTTCTCCCTGGCTTCAACAGATTCATACAGAGATGTTACATAACTATAAAGGGCTGTCACTGTACTTTTTCCTTTTCTAAAACCATGTTGATCAGGGATTAGGATATTATTTACAGTAAGGTGAGTATCAAGTCTATGTAGAAAAGCTTTTTCATACACTTTAGATATTGCTGAAGTAATAGCTATTGGTCTATAATTAGAAGGATCATCCTTTTCACCTTTTTTAAACAGTGGAATTATTTTAGCTAGTTTCATATTATCAGGAAATCTCCCTTGCAAAAATGACTCGTTTATAAGATGAGTAAGTGGGGCGGTAATATAGATTGAGATTTTTTTCAAGACATTAGTTGAGATTCCGTCCCACCCATATGAGTGTTTAGTCGGAAGCTGATTAATTATACTATAAATCTCAAAATCTTTCATCAACTGTAGGCTTTGAGCCGTAATATTATTATCATCTATCAGTTTCGAGCAGTCATCTACATTTATATTACTTACATCTGGCTCTGATTCGACAAACTTATTATTCAGGCAATTAGCTATATTAAGTTTAATTGACTCATTAACACCATCAATATTCAACGCCTCAATAGAATCTAAATTTTTATTTTTACAAGATTGTGAGTTAATAAGTTTCCAGGCTGCACTAGATTTATTTTTTGCTTTTGATATTTTATTGTCATTTACTACTTTAGTTTCTTTTTGAATATTGTCCAAGACTTTTTTCTTAAAAGATTTTAATTTGGTCTTCATATCCAAAATTTTATTTTGATCCAAGTTCGATTTTATTTCTAAACTGAGTTCGATCATATTTTTCTGTAGTTTTTTTGTTTCCTCGGATAGTTTAATTTTTCCAGTTTGGTTTGCTCTTATTGTTACACGTTTCATTGGGAAGGATTTTTCAAAGTGTTTAATTAGTATGGCCATGAATTTTTCACTTTTAGTATCAATTGAGCTAGCCTGATATACTTGACCCCAATATTCTTGTTCAAGCAAAGAATTAAATCTGAGAAAATTTTCTTCCGAATAATTTCTGACATATTTAAAACTATCTGTCAATTTTTCGACTGGCAGAGAAACAGACACGTATACGGCGCAATGATCAGAAAATAACATGGGAATAATTTCGAACGAGCTTTCGAGATTGAAATTAGCGTAAACATGGTCTAAAAGTGTACCGCCATTTACATTTTCCCTAGTTATTTTATTTACATTCAACAGGTTTAAATTGTGAAATTTAGTAATCTCTTTTAATTTAGCGCTATTATTGTCATTACCAAGAAGATCGATATTAAGATCTCCGGCTAAAATTAAGTGGCCACTAAATCTAGATTGCATAAGTACTGTGTCTAAGTGTTCTAAAAATTCAGGAACTACTGTGTTTGAACTCGGATTGCTCGGTCGATAAATACCAATTACATTAATATTTTCAGACCGGAGAGTTAATTTACTTGCACAGAACTCATAGAACATTTCCCTTGAATATATTTTAACAGCTTTTGTTGAGCCTTTGATTAATTTATTTTTCAGAATTAGAACCCCACCCCTTTCATGTTTTTTTATGCTTCTTCCAAAGTAGGATAATAGTTCGAATCCATCCAGATAAAAGTTTTTGACTTCAAGTGCATCCAACCAGTGTTCCGTAATTACAATTAGATCTGGACGCTCTTTTAGACTGTGAATGAAGCTAGTGAATTCAGTATACTTATTGGGTGTCTTAAGGCCTCGAACATTCAAATTTAGTATTTTTAAATTACTTAAGTGTTTTTTGGAAGGGACTTGTTGTTTGTGTTTTTTGAGTTTCTTCTGTAATTTATTGATGTGGAGTTTGAGGGTGATGGTGCGGCAATCTTCGGAGATGGAGCCGATGGGGCGGGCTGCTTACTCAAGTTGCGCACGGGGCCGGCCTCCTTTCTCGGCTGCGGTCGCCTGATGTTGACCGGGACTGTCCCACGTAGCCCGACCGAGACTTTCTCGGCCAGCGCGTCGATGCTTCGCCTCATGCCGGACAGCTCACTGGCCAGGTCAACTGAACTGGGCGCATCAGGAGCCAAGGGTGGGGCGGGGTTAGACTGTTCTGAGGGCTCGAGCGGAGAGAGTGGTGAGACTTCGGGTATGTGTGAGACACCGACTGTTACCTTTACATTGGGAGTTTGCCGGGGGGGTCGGTGATTGGAATCAAGTGGGGGCAGCTGGTGCAGGCTACCCCCACCGGCAAAGCTTTCCCGAAGACTCTCAGCCTCCCTTCCTCCTTCCAGGTCAGCAAAGAATTTCGCCAGGCTCATGGACTCCTTCTTGCCGTCGCCTCCAGGAGAGTTGGCCTCCAGACTAAAATTAGTTTCCTCCTCAGGGTAGGTTGACTGAATAAAAGTTGTTTCACCTTTGCTAGCAGATGATGAGGTGGGGCTGGACGCACGGGAGGGCACCCCAGCTTTGTTACAGGTCTCCGGTGTGCGCCCAGCTGGTCCACCTAGTCCTGCTGTAATTTTGGCAGCTTCTGATGGGGCACCGCCAGGCCCAGGGTCAGCTGCGGGCCTCGCCACCTGCTCCAGGCGCGCCTGCTGTTTGGCCATGTCGGTCTCCCATCGACGAGTGGGCGACTTCTTTTTATTTTTTTGGTGGCTCGGCGACGCAGCTGAAACAACAGAACATTTTTGTAAATTATTTTGTTTTCCAATCTGGGGGACTGAATCGATAAGACTTATGCTTTGTCTCTTTTGTACGAGGGGCTCGGCCTGCGAGGTCTTGGCGAGCGGCGGAAATTCGTCATCGAGGCTGCTCGAGGCCGGAGAGGTTGTCGTCTTGTGGAAATTCCTCCTCGTAAAATCGTTGGTGCCCTCGAAAATAAAAACCTCCGTTTTCGAGTTAGCAAAAACTCGCTCCAGAACCTCAAGGCTGAACTCCCATGGAAGTTTGTCAAGTCCCGCTCCAATTTTAGGGAGCCCTAATTGCTTAATGCCGAGTGCCGTGCAGACATCACGGAGAGAGACGATGGCGGCTTCAAAGTTTTCACGTGTCGGGCGAGTTCCTCTCGACTTCTCCTTGGTGATGATGTACAGAGCATACCTGAAGGTACCGTCGTTCTGCTGTACTGGAAGGACCGCAACCTGTCCGACTTTCAGCCCCAAAGACAGCAGGTAGTTCACATTGCCGAAAAGCTCTCGGAAATCAATTGCAAGTCCGGCCGACATTTCGAAATCTTCGGCGACACAATGGCCAATAGACATCGAGGGTGGTGAGTCGACGAAAAGATTTGCCCCAGGTAACATTACGACCTTTGTTTTCGGCGGCCGAAGAGGTATCTTGTACTGCAGCCACGCCTCCTTTTCTCTGGCAAGGAAAAGTTGATACTCTCGCTCCATTCTTGCTACCACACTATCTTCCGGGGACTCCTCTCGATGTGAAAGGGCTTGCAGTTCCCGCAGGACTTCGGCCAGCGTCCAGCAGATGCGAGTGAGAGCACCTTGATCACCAAGCGGGCGCATCATGACAGGCGGCGGAATCGCATAGTAATCGTCCGGCATCATTTTTGCGAGCAGATTTTCTCACAAAATAGGCGATGAAGAGGGCCAACTTCACTTCTGGGGTGTCTTCACACACTCAAGAAACAGAAAAGTCACCACTCAAGGGTCAACTCGACGTCCACCAACCGCCAGGGTCTCGGAAAGGGCACCAGCTCAAAATCAACACCTCACTACTTGGCGCATGCGCACCACTCCCCATTTTTTGAATATTTTGAATTTTTAATTCTAAGTCCGATCATAAAAATCGACATATATCGTCAGGTACCAATAAATATACGACTTGGAATTCATTGAAAAAAATGTGAAAACGTAGGGTCTTCATAAGTGTCACTGAGACCTTTTCAGAAAATCAAAAAAAAATATTTATAAGTACCAAGTACCTCATATTTTGAATTTTTAATTCTAAGTCCGATCATAAAAATCGACATATATCGTCAGGTACCAATAAATATACGACTTGGAATTCATTGAAAAAAATGTGAAAACGTAGGGTCTTCATAAGTGTCACTGAGACCTTTTCAGAAAGTCAAAAAAAATATTTATAAGTACCTCATATTTTGAATTTTTAATTCTAAGTCCGATCATAAAAATCGACATATATCGTCAGGTACCAATAAATATACGACTTGGAATTCATTGAAAAAAATGTGAAAACGTAGGGTCTTCATAAGTGTCACTGAGACCTTTTCAGAAAGTCAAAAAAAATATTTATAAGTACCAAGTACCTCATATTTTGAATTTTTAATTCTAAGTCCGATCATAAAAATCGACATATATCGTCAGGTACCAATAAATATACGACTTGGAATTCATTGAAAAAAATGTGAAAACGTAGGGTCTTCATAAGTGTCACTGAGACCTTTTCAGAAAGTCAAAAAAAATATTTATAAGTACCTCATATTTTGAATTTTTAATTCTAAGTCCGATCATAAAAATCGACATATATCGTTAGGTACCAATAAATATACGACTTGGAATTCATTGAAAAAAATGTGAAAACGTAGGGTCTTCATAAGTGTCACTGAGACCTTTTCAGAAAGTCAAAAAAAATATTTATAAGTACCAAGTACCTCATATTGTGAATTTTTAATTCTAAGTCCGATCATAAAAATCGACATATATCGTCAGGTACCAATAAATATACGACTTGGAATTCATTGAAAAAAATGTGAAAACGTAGGGTCTTCATAAGTGTCACTGAGACCTTTTCAGAAAGTCAAAAAAAATATTTATAAGTACCAAGTACCTCATATTTTGAATTTTTAATTCTAAGTCCGATCATAAAAATCGACATATATCGTCAGGTACCAATAAATATACGACTTGGAATTCATTGAAAAAAATGTGAAAACGTAGGGTCTTCATAAGTGTCACTGAGACCTTTTCAGAAAGTCAAAAAAAATATTTATAAGTACCAAGTACCTCATATTGTGAATTTTTAATTCTAAGTTGATCATAAAAATCGACATATATCGTCAGGTACCAATAAATATACGACTTGGAATTCATTGAAAAAAATGTGAAAACGTAGGGTCTTCATAAGTGTCACTGAGACCTTTTCAGAAAGTCAAAAAAAATATTTATAAGTACCAAGTACCTCATATTTTGAATTTTTAATTCTAAGTTGATCATAAAAATCGACATATATCGTCAGGTACCAATAAATATACGACTTGGAATTCATTGAAAAAAATGTGAAAACGTAGGGTCTTCATAAAAGTCACTGAGACCTTTTCAGAAAGTCAAAAAAAATATTTATAAGTACCAAGTACCTCATATTTTGAATTTTTAATTCTAAGTCCGATCATAAAAATCGACATATATCGTCAGGTACCAATAAATATACGACTTGGAATTCATTGAAAAAAATGTGAAAACGTAGGGTCTTCATAAGTGTCACTGAGACCTTTTCAGAAAGTCAAAAAAAATATTTATAAGTACCTCATATTGTGAATTTTTAATTCTAAGTCCGATCATAAAAATCGACATATATCGTCAGGTACCAATAAATATACGACTTGGAATTCTTTGAAAAAAATGTGAAAACGTAGGGTCTTCATAAGTGTCACTGAGACCTTTTCAGAAAGTCAAAAAAAATATTTATAAGTACCAAGTACCTCATATTTTGAATTTTTAATTCTAAGTCCGATCATAAAAATCGACATATATCGTCAGGTACCAATAAATATACGACTTGGAATTCATTGAAAAAAATGTGAAAACGTAGGGTCTTCATAAGTGTCACTGAGACCTTTTCAGAAAATCAAAAAAAAATATTTATAAGTACCAAGTACCTCATATTTTGAATTTTTAATTCTAAGTCCGATCATAAAAATCGACATATATCGTCAGGTACCAATAAATATACGACTTGGAATTCATTGAAAAAAATGTGAAAACGTAGGGTCTTCATAAGTGTCACTGAGACCTTTTCAGAAAGTCAAAAAAAATATTTATAAGTACCTCATATTTTGAATTTTTAATTCTAAGTCCGATCATAAAAATCGACATATATCGTCAGGTACCAATAAATATACGACTTGGAATTCATTGAAAAAAATGTGAAAACGTAGGGTCTTCATAAGTGTCACTGAGACCTTTTCAGAAAGTCAAAAAAAATATTTATAAGTACCTCATATTTTGAATTTTTAATTCTAAGTCCGATCATAAAAATCGACATATATCGTCAGGTACCAATAAATATACGACTTGGAATTCATTGAAAAAAATGTGAAAACGTAGGGTCTTCATAAGTGTCACTGAGACCTTTTCAGAAAGTCAAAAAAAATATTTATAAGTACCTCATATTTTGAATTTTTAATTCTAAGTCCGATCATAAAAATCGACATATATCGTCAGGTACCAATAAATATACGACTTGGAATTCATTGAAAAAAATGTGAAAACGTAGGGTCTTCATAAGTGTCACTGAGACCTTTTCAGAAAGTAAAAAAAAATATTTATAAGTACCAAGTACCTCATATTTTGAATTTTTAATTCTAAGTTGATCATAAAAATCGACATATATCGTCAGGTACCAATAAATATACGACTTGGAATTCATTGAAAAAAATGTGAAAACGTAGGGTCTTCATAAGTGTCACTGAGACCTTTTCAGAAAGTCAAAAAAAATATTTATAAGTACCAAGTACCTCATATTTTGAATTTTTAATTCTAAGTCCGATCATAAAAATCGACATATATCGTCAGGTACCAATAAATATACGACTTGGAATTCATTGAAAAAAAATGTGAAAACGTAGGGTCTTCATAAGTGTCACTGAGACCTTTTCAGAAAGTCAAAAAAAATATTTATAAGTACCAAGTACCTCATATTTTGAATTTTTAATTCTAAGTTGATCATAAAAATCGACATATATCGTCAGGTACCAATAAATATACGACTTGGAATTCATTGAAAAAAATGTGAAAACGTAGGGTCTTCATAAAAGTCACTGAGACCTTTTCAGAAAGTCAAAAAAAATATTTATAAGTACCAAGTACCTCATATTTTGAATTTTTAATTCTAAGTCCGATCATAAAAATCGACATATATCGTCAGGTACCAATAAATATACGACTTGGAATTCATTGAAAAAAATGTGAAAACGTAGGGTCTTCATAAGTGTCACTGAGACCTTTTCAGAAAATCAAAAAAAAATATTTATAAGTACCAAGTACCTCATATTTTGAATTTTTAATTCTAAGTCCGATCATAAAAATCGACATATATCGTCAGGTACCAATAAATATACGACTTGGAATTCATTGAAAAAAATGTGAAAACGTAGGGTCTTCATAAGTGTCACTGAGACCTTTTCAGAAAGTCAAAAAAAATATTTATAAGTACCTCATATTTTGAATTTTTAATTCTAAGTCCGATCATAAAAATCGACATATATCGTCAGGTACCAATAAATATACGACTTGGAATTCATTGAAAAAAATGTGAAAACGTAGGGTCTTCATAAGTGTCACTGAGACCTTTTCAGAAAGTCAAAAAAAATATTTATAAGTACCAAGTACCTCATATTTTGAATTTTTAATTCTAAGTCCGATCATAAAAATCGACATATATCGTCAGGTACCAATAAATATACGACTTGGAATTCATTGAAAAAAATGTGAAAACGTAGGGTCTTCATAAGTGTCACTGAGACCTTTTCAGAAAGTCAAAAAAAATATTTATAAGTACCTCATATTTTGAATTTTTAATTCTAAGTCCGATCATAAAAATCGACATATATCGTTAGGTACCAATAAATATACGACTTGGAATTCATTGAAAAAAATGTGAAAACGTAGGGTCTTCATAAGTGTCACTGAGACCTTTTCAGAAAGTCAAAAAAAATATTTATAAGTACCAAGTACCTCATATTTTGAATTTTTAATTCTAAGTCCGATCATAAAAATCGACATATATCGTCAGGTACCAATAAATATACGACTTGGAATTCATTGAAAAAAATGTGAAAACGTAGGGTCTTCATAAAAGTCACTGAGACCTTTTCAGAAAGTCAAAAAAAATATTTATAAGTACCAAGTACCTCATATTGTGAATTTTTAATTCTAAGTCCGATCATAAAAATCGACATATATCGTCAGGTACCAATAAATATACGACTTGGAATTCATTGAAAAAAATGTGAAAACGTAGGGTCTTCATAAGTGTCACTGAGACCTTTTCAGAAAGTCAAAAAAAATATTTATAAGTACCAAGTACCTCATATTTTGAATTTTTAATTCTAAGTCCGATCATAAAAATCGACATATATCGTCAGGTACCAATAAATATACGACTTGGAATTCATTGAAAAAAATGTGAAAACGTAGGGTCTTCATAAGTGTCACTGAGACCTTTTCAGAAAGTCAAAAAAAATATTTATAAGTACCAAGTACCTCATATTGTGAATTTTTAATTCTAAGTTGATCATAAAAATCGACATATATCGTCAGGTACCAATAAATATACGACTTGGAATTCATTGAAAAAAATGTGAAAACGTAGGGTCTTCATAAGTGTCACTGAGACCTTTTCAGAAAGTCAAAAAAAATATTTATAAGTACCAAGTACCTCATATTTTGAATTTTTAATTCTAAGTTGATCATA